TCAGGCAATGTTACGCAAGACTGACTACATAATCGTTCCACTTTCATTGTTTTTGTATATTTGGGAATGATCAGCGAATTCGATTGATGATAATCAAATATTTCCTTGTCTTAGGTTGAACATTGAGACATATTCAAACCTTTAAACATATACAAACCTTCGAACGCATATATTTCTTTATTTGAAAAAATACCAGAAATGTAGTGACTGAAGTTGACACATTTTTAGGCTTTGGTCAGTTTGAAAAGCGACGAAATTTAGTCTGATATTTATTTAACGTGAATTATGCCTTACAAAATATAAATTGTAAACATCCTGTGACATAGGAGAATTTGCCTGCTACTCAAATTGTCCCGACATTTCTATTAATCAATATCTGTATAGTATAATCTGTTCCAGGAATATTGATATTTTTTTTTATCTGCGCGAAACATGTGCGAGGTATATATCACACGACTGGTGTAAGCACAGCGATGTAATTTTTCGACGTTTTGGATTTTTTCAGGAAAACTTTTATTACACGCCTTTATTACGTTATTTTTTTACTATATTTTAATATACACTATAGTGTTTTCGCATCATCACACCCTGGTGAAGTGGCCCTGATAAAAATTTTAGACGTTGGAAAATTGCATCGTATTGCTCATACTGACTGTGCTGTGCATATCTCCAACTTGAATATACACTCCTGCATTGCGATGCGCAAGAGGCAAGAGAGCCGAACTGCCACAAGAGAAAAAGAAGTGTTTGTTCCCAGCCCAGGCTTTAGGACTCCAATTATGTAATTAGCAATATCATATCGTTTATAGGACTATTTAAATCCTTTAACTTAAAGTACAGTACGGTGAGCTATATTCTTCCAAGCGCGGTGATCGATAACTAGACACGATGTAGACCTACACAAATAGTTTTGGTAAATTGTTTTTGTTGTATTTCCGAACGTTTTCTCACTTCACATGCCTAAAGCTTATTGATTTTTGTAAGAAAGTGCTTGGCAAACAAAGTATGTGTAATAATCTGTCTGTAGCAGTACCTTTGTTTCCGCATATTTGTCCATCCTTTCATACCGTCCACATCTAACAAGAAAACCCAAATCACAAAACATATTCCTGAACATTGCCGGGTATAAGTAGCCCGATGGGATCACGAATAGAAAAATCCCAGAAGAAGTTCAGTGATTCATCGGCAATTGCTTTGACCCCTGCCGTACACCTTCAGAGACTGGATGCGTTTACTCTGGTTATGTGTTTACTCCGAACACAAACGTGAAAACGGGCTCTGAGTGTGAGAAACTTAAAAAGTAAGAAGAAAGAGTACTGGTGCGATGAAAAAATAAAATTTGAATACCTGTTTGAGGGAAATTGTGTAAGAGATCGACTAAGAATAGGCTAATATACAAATGAAGTATTTTTCATGTGTAGTCAATACAGGTAATTCTGTAAGAATGGGCCAATCCGCCATGTTACCCAGATCGAAAATCTGATTGTCCCTGACTGTTAACTGTCGTCATAGTTACGCCAAAACTTATTACGGGGAATTTCGTTTATTTTTAATCAAATAAAATATGCATGGAACGCAATGTAATAGCTATCTACCACGACAAGAGTTTCGATTTGCTATAATTCATACTAATCTCCTTTATATGAACATCATCACCAGAATTATTCAAGAAAGGAGTGCATATTACATACAGAGACATTGAAATTTGAATAGAAAAATTCCGTACCGGCATCTTTTAATCTGTTAAACGGTTTCATAGTCTCGCCGCGGGAAACTCTGTAAGGGGTATGTTAGAGGAACAAGTACAATATTGTCTTAGCAACAGGCAAAATATTTGTATATAGGCGACTGAAACCTCATGTAAAGTGAAAGCAATGCCAGTTTTGTACTATATTCAAATGGAGAGGAATATTAAAAATATACTTCCAAATGCACCTAAATTATATATTGTGACTAACCAACTATTATAATCTCACTATGTCATCAACTGGCTTTTTTGTAGTTCCGAGTCCCGAAATGTTTTCCTCAAAGTAAATAGAAAGAGGTAAATGCTAGTAAAAATTGTTCAAGGTGTTGTTGCAAATGATGTACTTTTTTATGAATGGTTGTAGAGGGTACATTTCATCTTATTTGGTTGTTAAGCGTCATTTTTCATTTAACTCTCACACAAATTGGATACATTTTCAATATATATTCCAATATATATATTGTTCTAAATTAAACTTTTTCAGCTCTCAAATATATATATTACTCAATATAGTGGGGAATACCTACTAACAATAATTCATGATTTTCTTATCCGATATAATTTGAGAGACATTCTGAAAATAATCGCTAAAATTTTTGCGTGGTCTGTACGCTAAGTGGAGAATGAGACACATGGATAAAGTAGGATAATAGATAATACTTCTCATATTGATAACTGGCAACTTTTAAAAATTGCGGGTAAATTTCGAGAGCACAAAATTAAAGGTGGATTTATTTATAGAACATATTACACGCCAATGTTTTATTTCAATTTTGACACCCACAAAAATTCCCCCTCAACATTCTAATAATAAACCGTGGATGTACGGCAAGTATATAAATAAGTATGAATGATATTGAAAACAATCATTGTTGATACGCATATTAGGTGAAGCATGTATAATGAGAGTATAGTTGAATACTTAGAATCGGTATCTTTGAAGACTTGTCAACAGTAGGAGTTGAAGCCTGAAGGCTGGTTGGACAACTTGGAACGATTTGCCTTAGAAATTGTATGTGGAAACTTCAGGTCTTCAAAGAAATAAAAATATGATAGGCTATATATACATTCAGACATAAAGGTTTGCACCGCAAATGTAATGGCTGTTTTCGTTATTAGTTTTTAGTTGTTTTTTAAAAATTTAAGTATGAATCAAATAACCCAATGATTATTTTGTCTTCTCTGAAATTTTATTTTGTTGCAGTGATAAAAAATTAGTTTTGAATCAAAATGATGGTTTGAAACATATAAACCAGTTTACATGCGCCAACTCGTGAAACTACTCTTAAGATGAGAACCAAAAATTTCGCAATGGTGAACTATATAGCAAAAATTTTCCGAGGGTCAAAGGTCCGAAAAACATTCATAACATCAGTCTTGGGGTTGATCACACAAAACGCACAATCGCAAACGACGTCGGTAAAAGATTTCAGTTGACCTCGGGCGACGTGTGATAAAGACGGATGGTGAATAAGACGAAAAAAAAAACAAATACGACTGTAGTTATTACTTGAGGTGTTTTCGAAGCCCATCAAATTTGTTTCCGTTGGTGATATCATATCGTGGAAAATGCTTGGATAGACATATATGTACCTAAGATACGTCAGTGATTAGCGTGACATCTAATCTAGATATAGTGCCGGTGATAAGATTTTTTTGAGGAGTCGTTCTAGACTAAGTAAATAAGTAAATAAACACATGTTTATATCATACATATAGATAAACGATGTAGATAAAGTAAAGAGAGTTACATGATTTGGTTTGTTCGTGATTCATTGTTACGTCTTGAATTTAATAATGACGCCACAATGAAGGGAGTATCAAAATTAGCTCGATAAGGATTAATAAAGGAAAGTCATGAAATGTACGAAATTGAATAGTAAGTCGGTTGAGCTCGCGGACTGTATTTTAAATTATGTATTCAAATTTATTTTCAATTTATTCGAGTCCACACTTTCGAATAATAGTTACACGCCGCAACGGTATATAATTCATTGGGTTAATTCGATATTTGAATCGACTACTGAGGTTTTACTAGTCCGTGGATTCAGTTCACATGCGCATGAACGAAAAACTTGTTTTGAGATCATGACTTGCAGAAGTATATTGCGGTGATTTAAGTTCACTTTAATTCGGATTTTCGTATTGTGGGACAACAGAAAGAGTTTCTCTTTCAATAGTTTATCTGCATTGCAATCGAGTTGTTAGGGTATCGAAAACTTGTAGAACTCGTCTAATTAATTTATGATGCGTCATTTTCGATGATAACTAAATGTCAATTCGGGTCTGGTAGCAATTAGTCCAAAGTCGGTTATCATCTTTATTATTATCCCAACACAGATTTCGGCTGGATTAGGATCATTAGATTAGGTTAAGCCCTCTATAAGATAAACAGAGAAAGATGGGACAGTAAACTAATGTTCCTTCGTAACCTAGGCTGCAACAAACAGAATTAAACAAAGCTGATATTAAAATAAGTGATTAGGAATAACAAGATAATACCAAAAGTCGAAATTAATTGTACCCACCAAGTAACAAGTATTGACAGTTGGTAGAAATAACAATATATATTTATATATATGGTATACATACGCCAACTTTGTTCGTGGTTATTGATATGATGATGTGTTCCACAAAAATTGTTTTCAACAAATTGCTGGTTGTTTTTATGCATCATAGGTTTAGCTTTACTTCGTCCGAAACTTCGATGAAATACTGCTATAGTCGCACGTACATCGAAACCGCGTAAGAAAGTATATTGTAAATAATATTGTCGACAATCTAAGTTTTCCTAGCTAAGAGTGAACAAAAACATTTTTCGGCAATAAATTTATGTTGGCTAGCACTAAATTGGGTACTCCCGTAGAATGTGTACCAGGTTAGGGTTAGGCCATAATTTTATTCCGATTTTCTTTATTTTAGTTCTATTATGATTTCGGGGACTGTTTGTGCTAACCAAGTAAATATACCCCCTGCCCATAGGCTTCCGTACCTTTACACAACTTAATGTAAAGTAGGCGAACAAAATTAGTCATCTTCGTATTGGTACAGGGCGCCATAAATTGACCATAAAATGCATTTGAGTTTTGCGCGTTTTTCTATCCTCGAAAAAGTTGACACATGGTGTTTTAGATCGTGGTATTTAACACAAAGAAAACGTAAACAAAAACGAGATTATTTTGCTGTGTCAACTTTTTTCAATCAAAGATTTGATCAAAATGACAAATTTATATCCTGAACGTTTTTGGGTGGACACGCCCGTTGCGACCTTATTTTTGTCACACTACAAACAAACATTCTATTTGTACAATACCATCACAAATTTCAAAACAACATTACGTTAACAAAGTCGGCTATCGTATGACCCAAATCATAGATAGATTAAAGAATCGAGTATATCACAGGTTATTACGCAGATCGGAAAGATTAAAAACATTTGTTATTTTCACACAAAAATGAAACAGACTGGAAAAGGATGACAATAAACATTCTTATAGTCCGCGGTTTAACAACAATTTCACTTGCTGACTATTGCACAAAAGAGCAGGGTACATATAACGCTGGGAATTCATGCTTGACTGCAAAAACAAAATCACTCAAAAAATTGTAATTTCCTGTAATTTTCTATAGTAAATTTGCGATATAATACGAAACGTGACTGGAAAGAGAAAATTATTTTTTAGTCATACGCGATAACTTGGATGCCGACATTAATTTAATATGACGGTGTGTGGGTGTGATGTCTGCGAGTCCATATCGAGTTTGAATTTATGCCCGAAGCGAATCTTTAGTTAGAAAATAATAGTTGGAAAAGATCACTTTCCATAAATGAAAGAAAACCGCTGTTGATGAACAAGTGAACAGGTTCTGACAGAAGAAAAAATACTGTTTAGACGAGATGTAATTATCAGGTTTATATATTGGGGGAAGGGCTGACAATCAGCCACATCGCAAGTTTGTAATTGCCCCTATGGAATACGTATACGAACCCACGTAGTCGAGATGCTCCATCGGTTGGCGGTGCAAAAACTCATTCATGTATGGAGATTTAACTATTTTGCATCTATCTTTCAAATGATTTATTGGGTTCTGTTTTGGATACATTTAGAAATATCAGCATTTAGAATGGATACCAGCATAAAGTCGATAACAATCGTTATGTTGAAAGGTAGATTATCCGAAGCTTTGCCATGAGCGACCATCGTGCATATATACTTGAGCTTTCAGAAATAAAAACAGCAGCTAGCACCTTCGAGTTCTGTAGCAGACTTTTTTGGTGTGAGCGTTTAAGTTAAATTTCCATATTTTGTCAAATCGCCTTCAATGGATCACTGCTTACAACTGAACTCAAGTTGATGACACATTTGGTTGAAATGCGGACGCTACGACTCCGTAAATAGGTTCGTCAACTCAAAATGAAACTGCAAGTACTGAAAACTTTTAATTTTGTATTTACATAATTGCTACCATTCTTGTAACAAAGTTCCAAAGAAGATCCACAGCATGTTTTACCAGTGACTTTCATTACATGACAAATTTCAAGCACCGGGTTTGGAAAGATATAGATCTGCGAGAAAAGGTGGTTGGAATCACCAGAAATCTGGTGAATTGCTCGGAAGATATGCCTGGCGCAACATTAGTAATTCGGTATAATTTATCACCCTGGTAATTTAAGAAGTTTCGATTTTGTTGTTCTTACTAAAGAAGTACTTTCATTCTATTTAACGACACGAAAAAAAAATCCTTTCACCTAAATAAAATATGCAAATCGCTGACATAAAACAATCTGAATTTAAATATATCTCAATCGTTTCACGAAAGCGTTGGTTTACGTTTCACCACCCTATCAGATTTCAAATAAATAGAACGTTTATTGGCCTATTATGAGCAGCTTATTTGATCTCGTGGGCAATGGAGTACTTTTTAGGTTAGATATTCCGCCCCAACAGAGCATGTTTACATCTGAAGTTACGTAGGCTACTAAGAGCAAATAAGTGTTGGTATTGGATAATTATTTTGCCATGTAAGTATATCACCCTCACAAGTCAAGTATTAGTTAGAATTTAACTGTCAGTTGAATCATCATACTGATTCATTTTTATAACGATTCGGTTGTAAGTTAATACTTTCTTTATTGTTAGATTATCCAGCTATAAACCAGCGTACTTTAAAAAATAGTCTACACTTGAATGAAAATTCAAACACCAAGTTGAACGTACTCGTAAACAGATAAAGCGATGACTTCGACTAATTCAACGGGAGAAATTACCAACATTTCGTCACGCTCAATGATGCAACACGTCGGATTAGAAGCGTTACGTTTGGCATCGTCTTCTTACGCAATTGACGCAATAAGTTCGTGTTTTGGTGGAAACATAAGGTGGGTTATCCAAATGATGTAGAAGTAGATTTTTTTATTAGAAATTGTCTCACAGTTCCAAAAATAAAAATTTCACAATCTTGTTTTTATTTACAATTTTGGAATGATTTTAAAAATTGTCACGTTTCAATAAAATCTGTGTAAAAATACTTCCTCGATTTGATCGAAGTCCTCAATGGTGCTGACAATCATTAAAATGATCTGACGCAATAATTGTAAAATGCTTCTTAATCTTGAACAAAATTATAAATCTCATGACATCTACCTCGCCCAGACAGAAAAATATTTGTTTATGTCTAACGCCGGTCAATTTTGAGTCACAGAAGCATTCCCTCGCCGATTTCGGTGATTTGGTGTGATCAATTATGATTAATATTTATTTTTTATTTGATAAATCAACGGCATTTCCCTGTCACAAAACGCAATGGGGTAAGGAGAATAATTACTTATTGCACATTATTCATTTGGTGTTCTGGTGCGAATAAATTCCACAGTAGTAAGAGTGAACTAACTCCGGGTTCTCGTGTGTGTTTGGGTTCATCCTCGGACACAAGACGAAATATTAAACCTTTGGTGTAAACAACATCCGATTCCGATATACTTATTGCCATATGTTTGGAGAATGGTATTATTTTATGTAATACAAGCAAGATCGATGACCTATACATCAAAACATTAAAATTGTTGAAATATAGAAGCGAGTGAATTGGGAGAAAGCAAGTCCGTGACCTATCGTATAATGGGCATGCCACGTGATTTCCAGAAAATAGAATATCTATTCTGTGGAGGACTAGTTGCTGGCGCTTAGCTAAATGACTCCACTGTCGAACCAAAGTGTTTGAACGATAACGTCGCGAATATTCCGTTTCGATCGACAAGCGAACAATTTTGAGAATTTATTAATAAACCTCAAAATTGCAGTAATCTGAACCATGGAGATAGGTTTCTTTAATAATACCAATTCACTAAAAGACTAGTAATGGCAGTCGTAAATGGCTTCTGCTGAATTTTTATTAGGTTTAAACAAAAATATATACATAAAAATTTTGACGTTTGTCTTGTGGACATGAGACATTATCACATTTAATATTTTAAATGTGTCGATAATTATGTGATGTGATTCTTAAAACGCTTATGTTTTTTTATACACAGTTCCATCCTCCCAGTCAACTTTCTTATATTTATCAATATTCTCTTATTGGCGACAATATTATTCATCTCATATCAAGTATGGACAATATTATTTTCACCGATAGATGTATTTTACGATGTTGGAAGCATTGGTTTTGTTCATCATGATAAACGTATACCAAAGCACAAGACAGTCAATATTACTCGAAGACAAAGGTAAGCGTGGGCTTGCAGTTTCGCCGTTACAATCAAACTTCCAAACACTTTTTAACACGTTTTAAATTCAAAGAACATTATGTTTGCCGTAAAAAATATACAAAGAGGTTACTTTGAATAAAATCTGAAATATAGCAATTCGGTATATTTATATAACAATATGTTTCAAGTAAATCAAATCATTTGAAAGTTATATTATCGTTGTTTTAAAATATTGCATATTTTCCCATTTGAATGTTGTATACATCCATCTAAATTAATCGACATAGAAATGAATCCAACCTTTATTTTACAATATCTATGATAAGAACATTGACATGCCTAATTGCCACAGATTGCGACACACTATTATGCTCTTATTGATTTTGTAATTGATTTTACAAAAAAATACCAACAAATAATAAGTAAGCCCTGCCCTTTTAGCCCATTCTGTACACGCCATTTTGCAAAACTACTTATATTAAAAAATACTTTATTTTATCAGACTCGTTGGAGAAACGCCCCCAGTCTACCCAAACGGTTGGTTCAGATTAATTGACTCTAATATGCTGAAGAAAGGTCAACTCAAAAGCGTGTTTGCACTAGGTAAGTGATATAATTGAAGTCATAGCTTTTAAATAATATGCTCCAAATATAGGATATGCATGTCCATAGAATATACAACTTGCTGATTATGAAATGTTGTTATTCACAACTCAAATGGGTTTACCAATCATTTTACACAGGGGAACATCTTGCAGTATTTCGTAATAAGAAAGGCGTCGTTCGTGTTCTTGACGCTCATTGTCCGCATATGGGAGCAAATATGGCGACTGGTGGAAGAGTGCTTGGCTCTGATTGCTTGCAATGTCCGTTTCATGGATGGACATTCAGTGGAGAAACCGGAAAACTGGTTGACATTCCATATACAACTAAAGGTAATTTCAATATAGTTGTATTTTAATAACAATCCAAAGTATTAAAAATCTCATACAAAGTGTGTGGTATTTATGTGACGGATTAGTTGAATCGCTGCGAATCAGTACAAGCACTTGGCTTATACATTATACGACTTCGAGTAATAATTGCGTAATAATTAAGAATGGTGGCTTATAAAATCGTCCAGCAAAAAATTTCTCATCTTTTCATTGATTTTGTTTTTGAATGAACTATAAAATAAATTAATTTTCTTCCGTAGCACTCCATCTGCTTTACCACTATTTCTTTCCACTTGGAATCCGTTTGTTTTTGTTTCAGTTCCTAATTTTGTGTCTGTACGAAAATGGCCGGTCTGTGAAATAAACAATATAATATACGTCTGGTATGATTGTGACGGGAAGGAGCCATCTTGGAAATTGACAAAATTATCTAATCTACAACGTCTCAAATACGTAGGACGCACAGAGCACATTGTGAATTCTCACGTACAGGTATAGAAAATCGATGTAATTTTGTTATTATAAGTGTTGGTGTACGGTTTTTCAATCAGGTGCCGCGTGTGTTCTTTTATGACACATGGGCACGAAACACAATGTTCAACTTATTTTTTGTGCGGTTTACAACATCCGTTATTCTTATTGCAGCATGGGGATTTTTTTTATAATGCAAGTAAGATCGAAGACTTTCTATATCAATCAATCAAATTGACACAGAACCAGAAGAATCTTTGTAAACATATGTATTCACCCTCTGGTGAAATTCATTCCAACTAAACGGCCCCAGCCTAGCCAAACACAACACAGCTGTCTTGCGATACGAAAAATGATAACTTATTTGCATCACAATATGGTCTGGAGTAACCACCCACGATTCTATTCGTTATTAAATATGCTTAGTAATAATACTTACCCTTCAAAATTTAAATTGACAGGAAATTCCAGAAAATGCCGCAGACGTCGCACATTTACAACATTTGCATAAACCAATTATTGGACGAGATGTTGAAAATACGTATGGACCAGTGTGGAATTTTTTGAGACACGATATTGAAGTGAGATATGATGTCAATTCTAATTTTAAGATTCCAATAATATTTCTGAATGTTGTTCGTGGTTGGAAATTGCTGTCAACCCCCCTCATTTTTTTATGTCTGTAAATACATTTATAATATAATATAGTATGATATATAGCAACATTGTTGATGGTGTTTTAGGTAGCTCACCATCAACGTGAATTGAACTAATTTGACTATTTAAAGAATTAAAATATTTGAAAACATCATCAATTCTCATATATTATGATAAACTAAATTATTGCTAATCAAACTCTTCTTACTTCCTCCGACTTCCAAATTCAAATATACCGTAAAAAAACGTAAAACAGTTGAACTAAAGTTAAATGATGATCACATAATCGTGTACATATATTTTCGTTCAACTTTAATGATTTGCTTCAGGCGGCTTGGAGAACTCCCGATGATCCAGAGTATCAACACATATCGACGATGGAAATCAGTGATGCTACACACTTTAAATTATTTGGAATACGGATCCCGCTAAAGAAAATGTTCTTCCATATCGAACAGGTAAGCTATCTCTATTTAGCATAAATTTAGAGATTTGATTTTATATTAATTTATTTTTATCTACATCAATTTCTGCCTTTAAATATTAAGCTCCTGTCATAATCACTGATTAAATATTTTGATCCAAACAATTTGATTAATTGTGGACTATTTTTGTTTTACAGATCGGGCCTGGAAACGTCCATATTCACATCAATACCCCATACTTTCGAGGAGTTTTGATTCAGACTATAACGCCTACGGAACCCCTTCTACAGAGACTCTCGCATACTTTTTATGTTGAACCACTCGTTCCAATGTTCATCGCGAAATCCTTTCTATATCTTGAAGCAACTCAGGTACGGACTGTTATACTATCCCTCTGTTTTCTTTGAGGCAATAAACGGGCACTTGCTAAGCGAGATTCTTTCCGCACCAAGTATCACCGATTCCCTCATCAAAATATTATATAGTACATTATTGATGATTGGAAAATCTGGTCATAGCCTGAGATATTTTACTTCATTGATATCACCAATATTTGTAGAATACGATGTGTAATTTCTGTTTTATTATCTAGATTGAACGCGACATTATGGTTTGGAACAACAAGAAATATCTTTTGAAACCTTTGTTGGTGAAGGAAGAATCGTCGATTGTTAAGCATAGAAGGTGGTTCAGGCAATTCTACTCAGAAAACAGTCCTAGGCTGAATTCCGCGGGAACTGCCTTGATCAATCCCCTTCGCACTGAAGTAAACGACTGGTGATTTTGAAAAATAGGCATGCGTTATAAAGTAAAACCATGTCAGAGACAGCATCATCGGGTGTGGTGCGATCACAGGTGTAGATATCATCGATAAAGTGGTGGCATGATAGAGATGAGACACTTACGCGGCATTCATTTATTTTGTAAAATTTAATACTTTGGAACTTAATTTTTCGCTTTTGAATTTAATTATAAATCGTACTATTATGTGTAATTATTTATTATTTAAAATCAATTTTGCATTGCTGAATAAATTTACTATAAATAGTTTTTATTTGAAAAATGAGTCTCGCTAGAGCAGAATGCTGTTCAGTAACACGCATATCGCCGTTGGTCATTGTAGACCAAACGTCGATTAAGGTATTCGTCTATTCTCAGTGGTGTAACCAAAAAGTGTCTCACAAAAGAAACATTTTTTTTTTCAATGTTTTTTCTGATCTCTTTTGAGGTTGTTGTTTCACGCTAACTACTCGACCAATTGACTGCAATTTTGAATAAGTTAAAGCAGGGTGGTCCGCAGGCAGGGGCGAGTTCTGATAATGCTGCCGCTTATAACTAACTTCAAAAATAATTCGTGGAAAGAACAACAAATTATAGATATTGTTATGCATGAGAATGAATAAACTAAAGGCCGAGTAAGATGGAAACAAACTTATATTTACAAGATCGAACACATTTATTAGCAAAAAACATGTCCAATCGCTACTTTGCTGGCAACAAATGTCTGAACATCACGCTCTTTCACCTCGTTGGTCAGGAATTTATTTTCGATGCTGATCGAAGATAAACTTGACAGGCCCTGATTTGACATCGGAGACATTAAATATGTTTTTATCTGTTTCAACTTTGAGAAAGATCGTTCGCAATTAGCAATAGACCTTATTCATCGAAAACCCATCCTACGCGCAAAAAGTGAAGTGATGTAAACAAAACAATTTTAACATTAGCTCTTATGGGGAATGTGATCACCAGAGCAAAAATTTGCATTTTTTCTAATTTTCTAGATATCTTCTATTGTATATATACGTGAGCAATTTTGAGAATCAAATGTATAATACATCTTTTCTGATATTTTTAGCATGATAAACATGGTCAAGATTTTTGATAATCGTTTACTGAAATTTTAATGAGCGCGGTGTTTCCGATGACGTCATTCTCACTATACCATGAGATTCTGCCAACGCGCCGTGCTCTGTGGGATATGCGCTGTGATAACATAATACTGGAATACCGGTACCGGGACCACGACTGGCGTTCAACGAAAAACCTATTTTGGTTTTTATTGGATGTTATATATTTTATGAATTCCATGTAACTATGTACATTTCTGGTGCACCTTTCAAAATCCAATGGTCTACCTCAGTTTATATGTTGACAACATGCACCTATCCCAAAATTGGTGATGTTAGGGGCTGGATTTAGACCATGAGAGGCACCTTCATATTTTATAGCTCAGAATTTTTCTCTAAACAACATCATATGTCATTGCTTAAAATTTAAAAATATGAGTGCATTAAACTTTTCATCCTCCCCATTCTGGGTGCGAATTTTTAATTAAAAGAATAAAAATTTCCTTGAGATAGTTTTGCTTTCAATTTCTTTGGTCAAACAACCGCTACAGCCATACTTTAACATAGCAATTTCCAGCAGAATGCGCATAATAACTTCCCTTACGCAATAATGGCTGTTTACAACGTGGTTGAAACCAGTGGTGTACAGAATTTTCTACTCCGAAAAGTTTGATATATATATATATATACTTTTCGTAGGGTTTAAACTTGTCAAGTTTTCAAAAGAATTACAAACTTTAACCATAAATAAATTAAATATATGTTTCAATATTACTGCATTGTGGGAAGGCTTTCCACACTATCAAGTCTATAAGGTTTTGGCGTCTTCCAATGTCTCAAATGGAAACTTCAGTCTTCATTTCTCATATTCTTTTTTTCTTTTCAATAATCCCATTAGCATTTGAAGCTTGACTGATTCCAATGTACCTTTTCCATTGTTGTTTAATGGAATATGCTAAACGTGACTTCAAATTATTTTTTCTCACTTCAATCATCACATGTTTGAATACCCGAGCTGACTTCTACTGATTCGTTATTGATTTACATTTTTTTTATAAATTAACTGCTGTACTTGCTAAGTTAAAATTTTAATGAACGATTATCAAAAATCTTAACCATGTTTATTATATAAAAAATATCAAAAAAGATGTAAAAAATATTCTATCCTCAAAACTGCCCGAGTCTACAATGAAAGTTATCTAGAAAATTACAAAAAATGCTTTTCTTTTTGCGCGTAGGATGGGTTTTTAATGAATAAGATCTATTGAGTAGCCAATTATGAGTAATAAATAATATGCAATGAACAAAGTACGAAAAACATTTCAGCCGAGCCCAATAAACGAAGCAATAAAGTCTTCAACATTTTTTAGAAAATCTCTGTTTCCACGTACGAAAAGCGACGCATCAGTAGATATTTTAAAAGCCACACATACAGATTTTCTCGCATTATTGTAAACATTATCTTTTTGCATGCTATTTGTTAGTTTTTTTTTTTTCTTGTGTATCGGAAACTATAGTACGGATCAAATAATTCAATGATTATTCTGTCTACGTATGGTGAGCCTAAAAATAGGAAGAGTTTTTTGGGTTCAATAGTGGGGTAAACGTCCATTGTTGACTCACCATCACCACAGTTAGTCACAAAAGTCTAAACGCCTAATGTCAGCTTCTAATTAAATAAAAACACGCACGCCGAGAAAAGCATGTGTACACGCAAACTAAAGCTTCGTTTTGCTGCATTCTATAACGTGCTGCCTGGGGCGAATGCCCCCTTCGCCCCCCTCTAGGCACACCACTGTCAGCAGGTCGGTTACGGCTTCTTCTACGATCAAGTCAAACAATAACTGGCTAACCAATTCCTTACCCGTCATTGACTAATAGGCCTAAACGAACGATTGGGGAATGTCTCTCTGAACATTTTTCTCGCATATATATATAGCCTATATTGATAAATGTGTGTGTTTTTTACATCTGAGACGCAAATGTCTGCGAGTGGCTAGAAGTTACCAAGAGTTGAAATGAAGAGTGTCCGGTGATTCTCAAATTATAGCATCTTGCTATCAGTGGTTACTAGTCGGAGTGGCGGGGTTAAATAATGCTCAAATATATGGACACGAAAGTCCAATGATAAACTACAGTACCAGTATTCTGTCATACTTACACTGAAATAACGGATCAGATCATTCGAAAATTTCAAGTCCCACCGTCGGAGAAAATCACGTAGACTTCAGCTGTTCGAAATAAAGTTTCTATGCTTTAAGATGAACCATCATAAAAGACTATTGTATCATCTGCAGCTAGAGGTACTTTAATTTCGTTTTCTGCAATTTTAAATTCAGTGGTATCGTCATTATCACGAACCATTGTTGCAAAAATTTCTATCACTATCAGGTATATTTACGATGAGATTGGGTCGCCTTGTTTGAGCCCTTATTGTTTGTTAATATTTTATTTTTAACGGATTTATTGGTTTGTGTCGCCTTTGCGACATCTAGCGGTATATTTTCGTAATTGCCAGCAATCAGCTGATTTGTTGTTTAGTAAATTCACAACGTGCCGAAATCTTTTAAGGACTTTGATTTTGGGAACTTTCACGATATTTTCCATCTGATCGTGTTGATATTATCAAAGCCAACGTCGAATGCTCATTAGACCACGGATTCTTAACTATACTCAAGTAATTTTAAGTTTTGTAATCAATACCGGAATAATTGCATGCGGTACCGTTGAGAATGACAAATCAATCAATAAACAGCTGGGAAACTGATTGACCACTGAACTAATTTACTTCTAATTTATAACGAGATAGTAATAATATTATGAATTGTTTTCTCCCCTTTCATTATGTCATTACAGTATGACAGTTACTAAGTTTATTCTGTCTGTCTGTCGATGGTCTGATGGTGGTGTGGCCAGTGTGGTCATTACTTCTGTACTTTATTTCAGTATTAAGGTGTTACAACATTCAGACATTAGGTCAAGGTGTGTAGTGTTGTTGAAAAGTTACCAGCATAGAGTTATAAAGTTATAGTACAGTTGGTGATGTACTGGTATAGACTTTAAAATAAAATTAATAATCATATGATATAGTGATATTCTGTTACAGAATTTTAGGTCGATTAAATATCTATATGGCAGTATGGCCACCTTACTTCGTTCCTTAGGATATACATATATTCCCAAGAGAGAGGAAAGTTGATAAGATGGCTTAGTACCCTCCCACTAGATCTTTAGAAACCTGATTCAATATTTTTGCAGTATTTATTACATGTTAAGCTGTTGGTACCCTGTCGAGGATGAAGATAATGCAGTGATGCAATATTACGGTATCTCAGAATGCATTGAGTTTTAATCTTAAAATTGCCCAGTATGAAGCACTTAAAATAGACATGATTAGTTTGCTGATAACAAGGGAAGATATGGTTTGTTTATGGCCCGGGGCAAATTGGTCATACCAGAAGAATTCTGGTATTACTGTAGCCATTCAGAATAGTTGAATAATTGTCTATCAAAATTGTAAAATATCTTCGTTGAGATTCTATATTAGTTTAAGTATTACAAAGTCTGAAAGTGAATTGTGCACTGTATAGCTATGATTAAGGAAATGAAGCATTTACTTGTAATAAGGTTACCAGTATTTAGCGGGTTCTAATCTTAAATATCCAGCTCCGAGAACAATAGTATTGAACAGAAAGGAGATTTATAGCTATTGACTAAAAGTTGGTGCCAATTCGTTCGTAGAGATATGATTAATTCAATGCGGTACTGACAACATGTCTAAGAGCAGTCTAGACATGTCAGGTTGCAAGTGTACTAAAGATCTTAATGTAACCAAAGTTTTGAAATGAACTTCCAATGTGTCAATTGCATTGTATTGAAAATTATTATATTTAGTATAGTCTTTTTGGCTTGTTACTTGAGAGACTGATTTGGTAACTTCACTATGATTTGTTTACTTGATTATTTTATTGCATTTTGGCTTTTGCATTATGTTGCTTATCAACATGATACAAATTGAATTTGAAATTTACAATGAGACATCAGTTTTAGCTTTTAGTATTGTTTCTTAGTATATATCTTTGTTGATTTTGTATTTACTACATATTTAGCCTCAAGCTAATTGAATGTATGTGTCTGTCACTGTCTATTGACTGTTAAATGCTCTAAATTTTGCATCAGTGTCTGACTGGATTAATGATATATTGTGTCTGAAGTGAAGAACCATTTATGAGATATGCTTGCATTCAAGTTGTGGGCATGTTCATGTCTGCTTATAGTGATATACCTATACATTTTTCATGCGGATATTTGCAAAGTCTATCCACATTAAAGGTGTAGCAATGCTGCCAATGTGGGCCTATGTTATTTTCTCTCATTTGGTTTAACTCAAATTTCATAAGAATCATATAATTAATTTTTGATGCATACTACAATAATAAACCTATTTATTATATTGTAATAACCTGAACAGTGACATTTCTTTAAAGGGTTCTACTTTAGTATACGATCTCAGCAGTTGTGTGATCTCAGTGATTTTAGTTAGGGTTAGGAACTAAATTGTAGGAGAATGGGATTAAACCAGAATTGGTACCACTTTGGTATGTGATTGAGATCACATTAAGCAAGTGAGATCTCATACCAAAGTGGTACGTACCTATTAATCTGTGTGTAGAATATTAGTGTTTATGTAGTTGTAAAGCGACTGTCTGGATGCAGACAATATAATGAAATAGGCCACTCAAATATTGATTGAGACCATTTATTGATCCATATTTTTAACTGTAATTCTGTGAATAAATGGGTTAAATTGGCACAGACTGGGGCAAACAGTTTGACGTGTTTGAAATAGCGGTTGTGTAAAATTTAAGTTCGTCTGAAATATTGTTGCTAAACTTATACGGATTGCAGTTTGATGACTAATAATTGCTCTTTGCAAATTATAAGTGACAGATTTTCAAAGCTTAGACCCCAAATTTCATTTTGATTCGATATTGCATATAAAAACATGTGCTAAATTTTATTTTATTTATATATTCTGGGCTTATTGAGAGCTTGTACACGACCCATTCCAAAAAGCATACTACAATTATTCACATTAATTTATGACCCAATACATAACATTCTAGACTAGATAACTAAGCCACGAAAAGAATCTCGTATGACTAAATGTCAAGTAATTTAGAGCGATTGAATCATCATTCATAAAGCAGTTGACATTTTGGTTGAAACTTTTATGCTGTGATGCTTTCTTTGGGGGATGTAGATAATGCTTTTTGAACTGGTGATACACAATGGGATTTTCATGATGCAAAAAATTCCGGTTATTTGTCTATTGTATTTTATAAGCTTATAGTGTATTATTAATGATGGATTGTTTTCCTAAATGAACAGTGTTAAGTTATCGGTGAAAGTCTTATTATGCTGTAGATTGAGTCAAGAGACATTCAAACAGGACAATGGATATTTTCAGTAATTTAGGTAATTTAAATAACTTTTAGACGAATTTTAAGAAAACGAATTTTATATTAAACTTGATCCGTTTCACATTTTGGTACAATTCTGCATTTTTCAATCAGAATGAATCATGAATTTTCAAATGTTGACACATTCCTGTTCATAATGCTAATTTGAATCTAATTGAGAAAGCCTGACAAGGAAGCCGCTTGCGGTTTATCTGATTTTGTTAATTTGAATATTTATGCATATAAAGGCTTTTTTGATTGTCTTCATTTAGCCTTAGTCCAAGTAAGTGTGAAAATTTGCATACTACTGTCATTTTTCACAGCTTCCTCAAATCTTTACCATTAAGTCTGACTATTAGTCAAACATATTCAATAAGGTAGAAGCTTCTAAAAATTTGTTAATTAAGGGTATAGGCTGATAAATTCGAATAATTGATGATTACTCTTACTATTACCAATCACAGAAATTAGGATTATCTATTTTTGTGGAGGCTATTTATTTATGTTCTTCTGATTTCTAGAATATTCAACACCTATATGAACGTCATTATGCTAATATCTTATCGAATTCATATTTACATAATTCATCAGATCAAGCACTATCTTAATGAGGTAATCTAGGCATAAGGCGAGGTAAACCACTTTCGCTATCGATTGCCTGTCAAAAGCTTTAAATTCTCAAGTAAACCTGGCGGACGATGATATACGGTAGCCTACCCCAGCGTTCTGAGTTTTACGTAAACTACGGGAGACTGCACAAGTCGAACAACTAATCGGACTGTACTACTGCAATGCACGATTATCTGGTTAATAAAACTTTTGAAGCAACAAGTAAACATATATTTCATTCCAAATCATCTCGGTAAAGGGAGCGCAGCGCGGTCGCTTACATCTAACAACTAACATTTCAAAAAGAACACTGCATTGTGGAGCAAGTGCGTAAACGTCATCACCGATGGGAGAGATGGATGTACATACATATGACGAACCTATGTATGTTGGAAAAGGAAGTGATGACTGTGCCACTGTATCCGTTATCCGAAGTGACAGTAACGCACGAGTTAACGTAAAGGAACGTCACACCATCGCGAATACGTCAGACTCCTGCATAATACAGTCAAACAACAAACTGTCAAAAGGATCTCCTGATAAAGGTATTGTCTTCAATTAACAATTAATAACAATAGCTTAATCAGATTTTAAATCTGACGTACAACGTTCTCAAACTTAGTTGACACATTGAATGAAATGCAATTGGCAACCCATACTTTTGCTTAGATGAATTGCACTTGACACTTACGATTTTATTCGAAAATAGCAAGAGATGGACGTTAACTAAGCTGTTTTAACGTGATGCGCCCTCTACTTACATTTTGATGCGTCAAACGCTTTCTGCCCAAAATTAGACTTTACCCATTCAATTATGTCGTTTGACAAATGAGTTATCCCATGAGAAAACGTTAGTTGAGTTGGTACAAACATAAACGAGTGTTTGTGGTTATGGGTACCAGGTACCTCCATTTACATACAAATAGTTTTATAGTTCAAGGCTGATTCATCTGTAGTCTATCGGTAAGAGTCAGAATCATTGTTTTCAGATACGCACAGCAGGATTTTATGTTAATTCCTATTTGATTGTCCCCGCTTTTTTCACATTTGGTAATGCTCCACTAGCTGATGTTAACAGTTTCGTGAGTTATGTTGTTAACGCGTGCAACTCAACTTCAGTCATTTACGTCGCGCTATAGAGATGCGCAATGCATGCTGTGCAGGAAGTATGTATGTGTTGCGTGGTCATTAGTTATTTCATCATGGAGGCAGGCAATACATTATTATTAAGCGCTGTCACCACACTTTATAGACTAATTCGGATTAAAAGCATCGTTTGTTATGCGCGTAACACAGCGAGGTATCGACTACCAGGGCGGTTAAAATGTGAAGGTAGAACTCGCTGACAGAATGTCGACCCGGAATTAGGAATAGGTTCAATTCAGTTAATGTCATTTATATATTGTATAATATTGCGAGCGCATACTTAGACACGCTTCATTTTTTATTCAGTTTTTCTTCTCTGTGCACCCGTTCAAAACGTCGATATTTCAAGCGCTAAACATCAGAAATCCGTGTTGTATAATACGCAGAGTATTGTTTTCATTAGGTTTAGCCATTTTGGCATGAGTTATTAGGGAAGGCAAGAGAAGGTTCCCGGATTGTTATAGTGCTAGTTTTGCGTTCCTGATATTGTACTGTTTCGATTTCATCAATAAAGCATTTATGTTCGTTACCGCTAAAAAACACTAGGAAAACAGTCATAGTTTAGACAAATCACACATTTATAAACTGTTTGAGTGAATTGCGCTAAAACTAGTGATTGAATTAAAACTGACAAAAACGTTTATTACGAGGCAGAGTGGAGGTCAAATTTGAATCTAGTCAATTAGTTTGCGGATATTAGTCAACATGATACGATGTGTGACTGGCATGAAAACTCGACCATGATTTATTAAAATTCAAGGTTGGCCCAATTCATAATTTCATATACATGAGCTTGTTTTAGCACACTATGGGAAAACCTTAATAATATAAAATACAAGGAAAGATGTTGAATCAGCACCTGGTTTTGATTGTTGTACTTATGCTCCTAATCTAGTTATCTACATAATTTAAATTGTGGAGATTAGACGCTAATTAAAGATATTTTTAATTGACATCTTATTAGCTTCAATTATCCACTCAGCCTTAAAGGGCTGTTTGTGGATGATTGAATTGTCTGCCCGTTTCAATCGGTTGCACGTTCCAAACTACAATTCGCCATTTTTGATATACAATTGAGTAAATCTCGTACTGAAATACATTATGGACTCGATTTCTGTTTTATTCTTATGTTTCACTCTTGTTACTTACACGTCGCCATATCGATTGTACATGTCCTCGTCATTCAATTGCGTTATAATTTATCGACGAATTGGCCTTGCTTATTATTACCGATAAAGATTTTTTATGAAGGACAACGCGAGAGAATAGCTGGAAGCATTATTTTATTAGTTTTTGTCGAGTCCGTACAGTAGCAAAAGAGCTTGAATATTATCTACTGCAGATATTTAGCATTGTCCAAAGCTGGCATATCCGTTTCTATATGTTTGTACTAGCTGGTAGTGTTGAAGGTTTTTCTGTCAGTGTTTGTGAATTCCATGCCCATTCTGCTACCCGATGTCCGACTGGGTAGTTTGTGTAGAGTTTGCACCATGATTGAGTATATTTTTTTATTCAGTTTCAGTCCAGTATCAAAATAGGTATATAGGTTTTACTTCCAGAAGTACAATGTTGCAGCCTATTTGGGCATAGGAATTATAATGCATATTGCATATCAGAAGATAATTTTAAGAAGAATGCAGAATATATAAAAAATAAATAAAGGAAAGTTCATATTGTAAACCTTCCTGACCATTTCAGTATCTGCGAGCCTATATGAAATTCCCGTCTTCGGCAACTTAAGACACGAAGTCATACTTATCATGATATTACTACAATTATTACTATAGATGGATGTCAATTTTTCTAATAGCAATTCAATGCTGTAAAGCAGGGGTTCCCAAACTTTATTGGCCGCGGGCCAAAATTAGAATCGAAAAGATGTTCGCGGGCCGGAAGAATGTAGCGCCCAAAAGTGGATTCACTTTCATTTGACATTTTTTTGAAACATGTTCGTTTGACTCATAATAGCGCTCAATGTTGTATTCCTTCAGAACTGGAATAGTTCGTTGGCAAAGTAGACAAATCTCTGAAGTTTGATACTTTTCAATGGGAAAATACGAACACTGCCATTTATTCAAGAAACATCATTTTTCTGAGTCTAGTTTTCGTTTGATTTCTGACATCCCTAAGCTTTCCTATATGGCTGATAACTAAATTACTGTCCTTTGTAATCCTAACACCGGTATCTATATTTAATATCTGGTATAATTGTATTGTTACGATAAACACGTGCTGAACTCTGATAATGACATAAATTAGCGGTATCTGGATCGCAAAAAGGTAGAAATAAAATCTGTTGAACACTATTTCACGTAAGCTCGGCGGGCCATTTTAAATCGTCACGCGGGCCGGATTTGGCCCGCGGGCCGCGGTTTGGGAACCCCTGCTGTAAAGGATTCATTGATACTTTGTATTTACTGAATATATTTACGGGATGAATTTTCTTAGCGCTTTCTGTTTAATGTGCATTTGGCAATTACCCGGAATCAGACCCAAAGATGTTGTTTTGAAATTTAAAATAAATTTTTGTTTGTTATGATATTTATGTTGTTTGGTTCTCAAAGAAGTAGTTACTCTTCAAAATAGTTTCAGCCAAAAATTCAAGCTATTTTTCTCGTCAGCGATATAAAAAATGTTGGCAAGTATGCAAATGTTTTGTGCGAATTAGAAATTTCTCCACTCTATTCACGTCATTTCTTCATCCCAATTACCATATTTTCTGACATCACAGAACGATTTAATATCATGTTATCTATTGCTAAGATCTGATGTACACACAGAATTAATAAAACATAGTCTTATTATATTTATATGTATTAACAGATTCGACAAGTAAAGATATACGTGACATCGGATATACAAAAGAACATCGATTGGCAGGGAAAAGAGTCCATATTGAAAATCACAACACTATAAACAGCATACTGCGATCGGGACCAACCAGTTCTGAAAATAGAACTAGTAAAAGCGAAGAGAGAATATTATTCTCACCAACTATCGGGAAATCGCAGTGCCGATGTAATATTACTTCACAATCATCCCCAGTTTCGACGGAGCGGGATTTTAGGATAAGAAAAAGAGTTTTCCGTATAACGCCGAGGCCTTACGTCCCTGACCCCGCTGTGAACCGGAACGAACCGCGCCAGCCTAATCCATCGAACAACGTAAAAGGGCGTGGACATATTTGTAAAACTAACAGCGGGACCTGTAACGTAAATTCCACTGACACCTCCCCCGGCCCAATACAAAACTCGTTATTTATTGAAAGAACGTTAATAAATGACAAAACGACATTAAAAGAACAAACTCATACGTCACAGCCCTTGTGTGAAGACAGTATTTCATGCAAAGCAAATATTTCCCAAAATAGAACGCACAAAAAGATCGATAGCCCACTTTGTTATGAAGCGCCCCCGACTGTTGACTTAACATCTAACAACAGGCTCACGCACACATACACCAATTCACACAGCGCAAACCGAGTTACGTCAAACGTAACGGGCGTAATAGACCAATCCTGTTGTGACGCGACCACATTAGTGGTTCGGAAAACCTCAGTTTCGAAGCTTTAGAAAGGCGTCCGATCGACAAAACCGTAAGTACGGAACGGAGCAAAATGGGAAACACGCCTCCACGGCGTTTACAACAGAGCGATCCTATCGGCAATATCAGGAATAGCAAACACTCGTCCGCAAGTGCCACACCGCCTTCTGCTAACGAACAGCGACAAAAGGAGGACGACGATTCAGTATCAAAATCGCAGACTTGCACAATACCAGCATTAATCGTCAGCGATTCAAGCCTCGATCAAGATATGGAAGAATTGTCATTAAATGAGAAAGACTTTACGACGAGCAATAAATCTGAGTACGATACACGCACGAATATCAACGACGTCTTAGAGGGTGCAACAACGTCCAACCACTGGTGGAAAACCGCTTTGAAGACCTCATATAAGTTCGGATAGCGCTTACAGTTCCGACTCGAGGTGTACCTCAATGGATAGTGCGTCTGATCCATCCGGTCGGGTGGACGATTCGGAGTTTTGTTATCAGGAGAATTCGTCGTCACTTCTGTCGCCGGATAATAAATCACCTGATATAAAATCAATATCCTCATCTTCTTCTTCATCATCATCGCCATCTCATCCTGCTCTTGCAACTTCCGTCACTTCCAACGATTCAACATTGCGTGTTATGAGTGAATATGGTCTGCAAAGAAAATTATCGTCGTCTTCCGGATCGTCATTCCGGTAAGTGCTTATTTGGTTATCGATTTCTTTATAAAGCATATTTGCACTACCTAACTAACGCTAATAAAAATGACATATTTTAATGAGAATTAATAACTTCTTTATTAAAACAATAAGCAAAACATTTCATCTTATTAGAAGGCATCAATATTAAAGTCCACTTTATTGTTGGATTATTTTTTATGTTGTATTATTTGTTCAATTCAATGTCACATTTTAGTTATTAATAAGCGTTTATAGATAATGTAATATATATATATATATATACCGACGAAAGGTAGTGTGAAATAGTGTCACTTTAGCATTGCGTTGTGCTGACAGGAAGCACATCTTTGGAATTCCGCCCTTGTATGAATTCTGAATGCGAAGCAGACTATATTATATGGAAGAGAAATCTCATTCTTATTTTTAGCTTGATCTATAATTTTACTATTGGTTGGGAGTTCAATGCGCGCTATAGGTTGGGCAACGAATTGTGTAATTTGCAAACTTCCATATGACTGAAACTCATTATTTTGAGCTCTCCGCTCATGTAAATTTCTTGTAATATTTAGTAGCGCACCCTGTCGTGAGATTACATAAACCATGCTTTGCAATTTTTTATGTATCTGGCCGTTATGACAACAGATTGATTGCTAGATTATTCACCAGGCGATTATACTTGTTTCGTTTTTCCAAATGAGCATCATGATTTTTCGCATTCGTGTTTTGAATGTGTTGTGTTTTTTGACTCGATGAATCAGATTCCATAATTTTGATGACGTATTGGTTATGTTTTCTGTGGCATTCAAACGAATTTGCTTTGCAAATTAGTGAGTTAACCGCCTCCTTAGAGCGTGGGAATCATAACATGAAAAGATGGATTAAGTATTGTCACGCTAAAAGGCTAATAATCCGAATATTATTTATTCTAAAACATAATAAGTACACTTAATAATAAAATGAATTTTGTAAGGATTATCAACTAATTGGACTTATTTATATATACATTTCCCTGGTGTTCTGGCATATCTAGTTTACTTACACTCTAAAAAATACCATGTACGTTACGAAAAAAATTTGCAACAATTGCTGTCGTGATAGCCAAGTCGCCGAGCCGTACTTTGTCGTATCTCGAGTTAAAGTCTCCCTTCAAATTTCTTGCTCATCGCCTTATTCAGGATGTGATAAACTTGGTAAGCGATGCTGTACGGAAAATTCTGTTTTTTTCAAAAATATAGTAGCACCTCACGTGCTACTGTCTGATTATACAAAGTCTTGTTCTTAGTGAAAGCCAGAAATGACAAGTTAAAAAGAATGAAACAATTTGAAGTTAATTATACAAAAACACTAAATCAAATTGATAATATCTTCAACTCTCCAGCTGGTAGACATAACACGGCGAGTTCGTCGTCGCGTTGATTGACCCAAAAAACCGCTCTGAAGCACAACATCATTAAAATAAGCAGCAATGCTGTAGGTACCTAAAACTGAATACATGTTAATGAACACTGAGGTTCTTATCTTGTTAGACTGTTGATGTAGTATTAGCTTCTCTTTTGGTGGATTTCCATCTTGATTTATTGATATAGCCTACTTAGTTATTGGTTGCACTTGTTTTCTAGCCGTAAAGTAAGCAGGACTAAAACCATTTTAAGGCAGAGAATATTGTTAGTTAATTCTTGTATTTATTTAATCCTTCCAACATTAGACCTGAATGAAAAATATTATATTATATTCTTGAAATTAGATTTATTTATAAACTATAACATAAAAAATTACTAAATAGCTTAAAAGCTTGAAATAACTAAATTACTTCAAATCTTGATTGTTCATTAGTCGAGGTTATACATTGCGGGCATTTTTCTTCTCATACGACCGTATTACAGTTTTGTATGTATAGCTTTGGGGCGGATTTTCATTGCAGCTACACAAGGTATTCCTCAATCAATCAGTCTTTTATGTATAATTTTGCTATGAACGAAGTGGACCTATGGGTTGCTGTGCTAAATTCTTGTTGTTATTGTAGAGGGTGAATGTTGTTTTTTGAAAAAAAATTGCTTTTTTCTACAATTTAATTGACCAATCGGTTTCAAATTTTCAGTTCTTGAAGATCGAAGAAGTCGCTATGTTCAATTCCCTTCTTGTACTATTGGACCCGATATTTATTTTATTTTAAATAAAGGTTAAACCCTTCCTATTCCGTATTACTCGAGACGTTTTCATATTGCTTGTCCGCCGATTTTCCGCAAACTCTGTTCGCTCGGGCCATTACCGTACAGCGGTTCCGATGGGCGGCCTTTATGTCTATATCGTGAAGCATTGCTCTCTTGTTTGTTTTTTTAAATGAGCTCTTGGTTACTTGGAGTTGTTATCATCCAAATGCCATTTTTACTAAGAACAGTTTGTTTTAATTTGTGCTTCATTATCCTCTCATGAGTTCGCATAACTGTTGGAATGTATTTTATCGTACGTGTATCTGATTATCGTTTGTTTCCTTACGTACGTGAAGTCTTCATTAAATATCGATATGTAGTAATGGTAATATAATTACATGCTATCCACTGCGCAAGGTTCACCGGGGTTCGTTTCTAAATAACAATTTAGAGATTTTCTGGCACACTTGTTTTAAAAGAATCAATTCTATTTAATTTTGAAGTACTATAATTGTTTTTTTTTGCGTCTTCACTCGTTGGCCTATTTTTAATTTGGGATATTCCCGGCGGATACCTGCTAGCTGCTACAATCATAATTGGATTTCATATTCGATTTTCGACATTCGATCAGTTAATCTTCAAATACATTACCCACTAGCAATCTTTTTCTGTAAATGTCTCAACTTGAAGTCGCTTTTACTTCGAAAGTGGAAAGATCTTGATAGTATAGTCGCAATTACCCACTGGCGGACAAGGGGCAACTTCAGTGGTTTTCAACCTTCTATCTAGGTGATCGTGACCCCAATGAAACATTCCATAGGCGCAAGGAATCCCTGAGCAACCCGTTTTTGGGCGTGGTCTCTTCACCACCATTATGCAGTTTTTAATAAAAAATTCATATTCGCAAATAGGATATTGGAACTTAAACTACTTGTGTTAGAAATCGTGACAGCCCTCGACCCTTGGATTAAGAGGATTTGTTGACCCGGTTTGACGCGACTTCTGGGGATTATTTGCTAATCTAACTGACGTTGTTTTGTATTGTCTATTCAGATCTTCCCTCTCATTTGAAGAATCCGAAGACGATATGCTCAGCAGCGACGGCGAAAGCTTTAGGGAACACGCTGTCCACAAAGGACGTAGACAGAGCAAAGCGGTAAGCGTATATTTCTATCAGAATCCTGTGAGATCAAGGTCGACAAGTTATGGCTTGCACTATGGGATTATTTGGGTGTGAGAACTCTAATTCACTTTTTTCTGCGTTGCACGTTGTCATTGGTTAGTACACAAATGCAATTGGATATTGTAATCACCTGTGCTTTCAAATTTCACACAGTTTTTTTTTTAACTTGACAACAATCGTTTTTGCAATTTATGCTATCTTTGTTAGCTTATTTTAAATTCGCTTATGTATCTTGTGATATGTATATTCAGGGGCGCAGCCAGTTTTTTTTTTCTACTGGAGTACGGTGGAATTGAAACAGTGCAATTAACCACGCCGTAAGGCGTTCAAAGAACTAAAAAATTTTGCGTCGTAATTTCGGAGGTGAATATTTGGCACGTCCTATTTCAGACCATCTCCTAATCGTCAAATATAGCCGCACTCTCGCGAATGTTATAAGCCCAGTGAGAAATATTTGCCCAGTGAGAACTATTTGCCTATCCCCATGCCTTTGCAGATACGTGTTAGATGTACACGAAATACAACGAGAACAAAATGACATCCTGACAGTCTAGAAACAAAATGAATATAGAAAATAACCAAGTAATACATTACGGTATATTAAAACCTGACCACTAATGACAGCAGATTCATTGGGGAAGGTTATCATGGCCCTATGTTTTTGCTTAATAATTTTGCAAGATCATATCGATCGTGACATTCAAGTCTTTTGTAAAAAAAATCTGTTGTGGTATGACCTGCATAATTAAATTATATTTGCTATGAAGCTATTAATATCATGCTCATCAAGACGTCATACACACACCCCTTTTATACCCTTATTGCTCCAATGATGACATCTTTAATTAAAAACAGCTAATGTTGTTTGATAATAATGCCAAGTCGACCTCTTTATATATGACTTGTGAAACTAATTTCCTTTCCATGCTGACACCTGCCTCGGCTTTGTTTGTCCTTCTTTGTGCGAATGATGTTGAGTGATGAATTAGTTATATCAATTTACTTCTTTCTAATGAATTCATTGTCGCTTACCATATGGTGCCTATTTCCTGCCGATTTTTTTTTTCATATTGTTGGATTGTATGCAACCGTTTCATTCATCAAATAGTTCGTTTCTGTTCATCAACTAGTTCATTAAGCATGTTTATTATTAATCCATACTTCATAACTATCTCAGTATCTTGTCACGTTACTTTGAGTAAAACAGATGTAGTTTATTTATATATTAAAATGAAGTTTCCGAGTTATTTAAATCTGCTGACTGCTGAGCGATCGCGAGTTGAGAGGATGGATAAATTGTGTCCATAAGCATAGAACTTTCAACTAGTGAGTTCATCTTTTATAAATTGTGATTTGGACCGAGAATTATGAACATATTTATTTTTTGATATATTAATTGAAATTAATTTTAGTTGCTCACCTATGTTAGATTTCGGACGTATGTCGTGTTTGGATTCATTCCTTGTGTAGGCTAAAAGTGGTTGAAAATATTTTAAGGTAATTTTCGTGCGGTCGGGTTCCAATGATGATAGAATGGATTTAAATTACTCACGCTCGGATAAATTTCCAGTGAAAAATCTGTGATCAATCTACGTTTTGCCAAAATTGTGATATTAGTACAGACCATAGTTCTTGTGGCAATTTAGCCAAAATATCACCTTCTGGATAAATGCAAACCCTGTCTTGTAGTAAGAAGGTATTTTTACCACAAGTTTACCCGGAACCAAAAACTTCATATTTTGCGCTTGTAGACGCCGTCATTGAAGTTTGGTGACCAAAATCTTTCGATTATGTTTTATCATATTATCTTGCCGTAACCTAAAATACACAGGATCAAATCAAATTAGTGGCAGGGCAACAATAGGGTGGGCATACGCCCTGGCACTTTCTTGTCGAGTGTGTGAATCTAACAGCTAACTATATATAATAAGGGATGATAAATAGAAGAAAATGTCGTTCCGTCATTTGACTCTTCGTACTGATTTCATTCATCAAATATTGATGTGGTCATTGTTTTTGACAGGAATTGAAAAATATTTCTCCCCTCTTAATTCCGTATGTGTCGGTAATAATCAAACATTAACGATAACATCCCGGGACTGAATAATAATGGACATATACAACGGTACGACGAGGGAATTGTGAAAATTAACCTCTCGAATTTGACCGGTTATTGCCTTTTGCGTCAAATACGTGAATATCATTAATGGAAAACCCACATGAAATTAATGCGATTGTTCAGGTTGTAGAAAGAAATCGTATTTAATCTATTATAAGTAGGTTTGCAATTTTTATTCAGTAGCATTATCGACTCAGGCGTTTAACGGCTGTTTTAAAAAACCTATATTAATAATATTTAATGCATTCATCATTTCACAGTCTGCTTATAAATTAGTGGAATTCGTGCCAGGGACGCACGCGTGCGTGAAAAATTAAAAATAAAAAATTTACGTGGAAAGACGTGTGCCTGTATATTAATTTTTCTTTTAGGTTGAATTTGTAGTTCTTTTCGGCCTAATGTGTGTTATAATATCTCTGGGAACACTAAAAACTTAGGCCCTCTTCATTTAAAGTGGTTTCCACAACTATTATGATTATGTGCTTACCGTGCGTTCATTTCATTACGCTCTTTGACGCTGCCGGAAGTGTGCGTACCGCTGTGCAGTTAAGTATGCGCACCACTCTGCAGTTTACCTTGCGTTTCCTGAGACCGACTTCGGCTAGGCTTTGATTTAAGAAGTTGATATGAGTAATATTAAGTAATGTAACGCCCACAGCATGATCGCACTTGTCTAGTCAACCATGAGCCATATATTACCTTCTTAAAATTTAATAAATTCGCGATGGCCCGTGCTTGATCATATGAAATTCTGAACTCTCCGATATGTTTTTATTTGAGGTTGAGCGAAGGCTGAGTCTACAATTCTCGCTTTATACCGCGCCATAACTTAGCGAGCCTCTAAATTTTAGACAGAAATTGATCTATAGCCGGCGCTTATCGTTTCATTACGCCTGCTTTATAGAGCGTAATGACGCTTTCGATATTGTAAAAGATTAGAATAATGCCTACGTCCCCTGTGGCGTTTTTCCTCGCGCTTTTTACATCGGTAAAGTTGTACAGTACTTGAATGAATCGGAATTGTACGAATTTTTGCGTTTTTCTCCAGACTCTATAATAACTACTCTAATATATGTAATACAACGCTTTCTCAACTTGGATGCTTTTCAGTTCGATGCGCTTGAAAGAGAATATAAAATTGTTACCACGGCGGTGAGGCTCACCGTTTGTCATACAGAATGACGCAAAGCCACTTGACTTAATAGTCGCGATGTATCGCACTAAAGAGATTTAGTCTTTAAATAGTGTAACCCAATTAGCTTAGTTTCAATGAAAGGGTGACGAGGTCTATTAGGATAGATTGACTGCTGTTATTTTAGTATTAGACGCTTATTTCAGTATAAGTAGCTTCGGATTTATGAAGTGGTATCCCTGTATATAGCGTAGATTCGCTCTGGAAATCGCTGCTATTTTTTGACGTGTGCATATAGGTATAGCTATTTGTTTGCTTGCCCCGGCTGTGTTTCAGTTAAGATAATATGACATCCTGTGTATTACATGAATAGCGACAAACAGGATATAACTTCCATAATAGCTAAGCTGTTAGATATACTCTGGGCTGTTAATATGGCAAAATGCGCCAGAATGTCGATGACGACCGTCAGTAATATGGACAAGATACAGACAAATGGAGTGGATTATTCAGTAAGTACTTCACTAGATATACTCTCATTGTTTAATTCAGACAACCCAGTTTCGCTCACAGATTTGAGTAAGTGACCGTTGTTGTATAGCGCGTTGTTTTGATAGCAGTTCAAAAGGTGGTATACAAAAAGACTGGGTTTCGATTTTACTTTTTTAAGTACCGTAGGTATCCTCGTGTAGATTGCTCGTCGCTTAGTTTTATTGTACTGTTATAAGTTTATAAGTTCCACTTTTTTATCATCATGCAATGTTGTGGTGGTTTGCGTGTGAAAGTTACGACGTATAGAAAATTAAACTAATTAGGTCGAATAAAAAAAAATTTGCGAGCTGTCTTGAGAGTATGAATGGTAATGTATTCATATCTGTCACTCTGTCACATTCGTTTTTACCAGTAGGTCAATCATAGTTTAAAATATTATTGATCGTTTCAATGATTGCGTGGGTAGTGTTATAAATCCGTGTGCATATGATAGAACTGTTTTAGCACTGTATTCCGTTTGATATATGCATAAATACATGCATGATGTAGGGTAGCAGCAGACCCGACAGATATTGCGCTATAGAGAAATTCATGAACTATCAATTTCAGTTCGAGGATTGTATCAGAATTGCTACTGAGAAATTGGAGAGTGATTAAATCAGGTTGTACATCTGAAGAAAATTTAGCAGACATTCAGCTTAGTTGGGTTAGTGTATTATATTCAAAATTCATTCTGCAAAATTGATTTCAATAACTCTAATCCTAACCTGACAGACTACCCTAAATCACCTTCATTATATCTAATTACCTGTATTGATTTATTTTTGAATAAATTATGAGTAACAAAAAAGTATTCATAACATTGAAGATAATATGGGTTGTGACATTCCTTGCGGTCCATATTATTATATTACCGGTATATCAATTCTTGCTATTGATATTACTTGATCTATGGTTGAGTAAAAACATTTCTTAGAATTATCATTCTAATATGGTATATTTGCGTCATCGTTCATTCTAACATTATGTGCGGTGAAGTCATCGTCGATTTATTTTCAAATATGTACCCAAAAGGTGAAAATCGTAGACTATTGTAAATATTGTAATCGTAACGGTTGAATTATAAAAATGCTTTCAGCTATGCCAATTTAACTTTAAATTGCTCGACCGTAACGGGTCATCGTTTTGCTTTGCCAAGCGAGCCAGCCTTATTGACTTAGTGCTGAAATG